AAGAACGGCCGGGGCCCGGCCGATCCCGAGGCCGGCTCCGACAGCCGGGGGGCACGGCAGCTTCCAGTGCCTGCTAATTCCCAATGGTATATTTGAATTCTGCTTTGGGAAAGAAAATCAGCCTGGCAGAGCACTTTGAAAAGGCTACTGAGCCCTAATCTACTTAATCTACTAGGATTATTCTTTCATTATTATCTTGGAAACTGCAGTTACTGCAAAACACTGGCTTCGGGGGGAGATTTTTTGGTTTTCTTTTTTTTTTCTTTCTTTTTTTTTTTTTCCTAACCTGCTATGCTCCACTTCTAATTATTTCCTGAGGGCAAGTCTTTAACAGTGTGGAATTGCAATGTTTCAGACTCTCAGCAGGTATCAGTAGACTTGGCTAATGGATGTGGGCTTTCCTCATTTAAGACCAAAACACATCTATTCTTCAGTCTTGCATTGATGGGAAACGTTGGCATTACAAATCCCCATTTGTAGAAAAGGCCATAATCCCCCAAATCCACACTCTTAGGAGCGACGCAAGGAATGACATAAACGGCCACCAAGTTCACTGGGAGCTCCTCAGCCACCGCTGCTGGGTCAGGTCCAGCTCAAGGAGCTCTTCCTTAGCAGGGCTGTAACCGTAGTGTTCAGCAGAGACCTTCACAGAATCATCATGGTTGGAAAAGACCCTCAGGACCGTACAGTCCAGCCGGGAGCCCCTCCACACCACCCTGCTCGGCCGTGTCCCCGAGCGCCTCCTCTGCTCGTTCCTCGAGCACCGCCGGGGACGGGGACTCCGCCACGTCCCTGGGAGCCTGTTCCAAGCCTTGGCTGCCCTTCCCGTGTAGAAGTTCTTCTTAATGTCTAGCCTGACCCTCCCCTGGTGCAGCTTGAGGCCATTTCCTCTTGTTCTGTCTGTAGGTGTCTTGGAGAGGGGATCGTTCCCCGCCTCACTGCAGCCTCGTGTCAGGTCGCTGTGGAGAGCGATCAGGTCTCCTCAGAGCCTCCTCCTCTCCACACTGAATAACCCCGGCTCTCTCAGCCGCCCCTCCTAAGGTCTCTGCTCCAGCCCCTTCCCCACCTTCGCTGCCCTTCTCTGGACATGCTCCCGCACCTCAATGTCCTTCTTGTACTGAGGGGCCCAAACCTGAACACAGGGTGGGAGGGGCGGCCTCGGCAGCGCCGAGCACAGGGGGGACGGTCACTTCCCTCTCCTGCTGGCTGCACTATCTTCCCTTCAGTTTAGATGCCTTAGGGAGTCACCCAGCTTTCACCACAGTTTCGTTTGTGCTTTCATGTTGTCTTCATTCCTCTCATCCTCTATTTCTGTGTGCCTGTGCTGTTCACTTTGGATACGATTCCTCCTGTTGCACGGTGTATTTGGGTCCCAAAGCAGCAGCTATACTTGCACTTAAGTAACCTGGGATAAAACTGCACTGGAATTGCACTAAGCTCCGGCTTCCCACGTGGTATGTTACTAAACTACACACCAGTTGCCGTTCTGAAATGATCTGTAAAGGTTACCACAACAACAGCAGGATGCCATCGTGTTTATTTTGCACGTGGCTTTTCAAGTTCCCTATCTGGGAGCACATCAAGTCTCCGCGGAGCTCCAGCATCAATGCCACGTTCTACCAAGCACGGAAAATATAATATTTTTACAGTGGGTCTTTAAATCACTTTCTGACAACAAATCAATCTTACAAGAAGCCTTGTGGTGTTACAAGGAAGAGAAGGAGAGATTTTTGAGATTAAGGTATAATAGCTGCATGCAGCCGCCGTGAATTTGCCCTTTCCTGTACGAAACTGCCGTGTGCTGCTGCTGCGATCTAATTAAGCCCCCCCAATCAGATTTATGATGGTGCTAATAGGAAAAAGGATCGTATAACGCTGTTAATATGTGCTGCGTAATTAACATTAATGGGAGTCGCGTGGTTACACGAGCCCTAGCCTCACCCTGAAAACCTACCTCTCGATGCAGTGTTTATTTTATAACAGCGGAGAAGCAGCAACAAAGCAGTTGCCCCATTGTAGCAATTAGCAAAAAGGAGTTATCGGCTCCTCAGAAATCGTTCCGGCGCGGAACGATGACTGACCTCGGGCAGGACAGGACTGCGCTCCCGCAGCCCTCCATGGGCCAGGGCTATCCGGGTTTCTGTGCACGCTGGATGGAGGATCGCAGTGAGGAGGTGCTGAAGGCTGCCTGGAAGCGCCGTGGGTCGCTTTCCACATCCCCAGTAGCACTCGGTGCTTCCAGGAGGGCTCAGCGGGGAGCCAGGGTCTGCGCTCTGCAAACCCAAGCCCTGGGTAACGAGACCCAAAGCCCCTACAGGCATTTTAAGCTGTGTTGCTCTGACATTTGTGTGTTTGCATCCTCTGAAAATCCCTAGATATTTTCTTCTCCAGGAGTAGCTGCAGTGGTTAAACCCAGACGGGAATATGACATTCCTTACATCACCATTATCGTTTCCTAAGGAAGTGTTTCTCCGTCTTGAGGCCTGCGGATAACATTCTCCTTAATTAGAAAAGTGGTGTTTTACCTCCCTCTCTGCAGGGGTGCAATTTATTGCACAAGTGAGCGGCAGGGAAAGCCAGGCCTTAAATCTCAGCCCCGTCACCCAACACTCGGTTACCTCAACCTTCTCCTCCGGGAGCCCAACTGCCCTAAAACCAGCCCGCCAGGCATTCCCCTGGGAAGCTGTTGTGCATTTGCTACGTGATGTGCAGTTTATTTCTGTAGGTGTAAATCTAACTCGAGAACAAATCCGTGGAAGTTATAAAAACCAGAGATGCAAACAGGGACCGCGAGCTGACAGATGCCGAGCGACGAGAACTCAGAGTAAAACAGGATATTAATTGCAAGACATGTTAAGTCCTAATTTCTCCCCAGATCCCCAAATAGAAAGAGAGTGCAAATAAATGCTTCCAAGTAGGATATTCTTGGTGAATTAGTGTGAGCATTTTCATTTTATCTTCCTAACGATGATTTATGGTGACTTCGGCATGAGTTTAAGTGCTGTAACGATAGGAAAGCTTGGAAGGAAAATGGTTCAAAGGTCTCCACGGCGAAGTATCGAGCAGGATTTTCAGAATTAGGTTTTCCTATCGAGCAGGGTCCTCCGAAGCCCTCAGGCGACCACAGCCCCCAGCTCCTCGACCTAAACCCTTAAGAGAAAACGTTTCAGAGGCGCCCGCGGGCGCGATTGCCCTCTGCAGCCTGGGCAGCCCTCAGCCTCCTGCTCCCCTTCGTCCCTGCCCGTTTTCGGCCCTTTTCTCCGGACTCTGCATCCCCAGTTATCCCGGCAAGGGACATTTCAAGGGACATTTCCCTTGGAGCGGGACCAGCCCGGGGGGTTCCGGGGAGCAGGGGGCGGCTATGGGGGAAGCGGTTGGGGCCCGGCCAGC